ATTAGAACCCTGTCATTAGCTAAGCTCTTTCTTGTATCTTGAAGTAATTGGTAATAAACCAATTCTCAGGAGGTGGGAGGTACAAATTAATCTCTTAGAGAAGCCAGGGGAGGCTAGACCAAATTCTCTCAAAATTTGGGGGAACCAAATTTTTCTCACAATGACAAGATGGACTGTGTGTGGATGCACATGACCCCTCCCCAGGTGCCATCATCCTTAGGATCATACTTTTCTTTTTTATCCATTCATTGGTACAACTTTATCCTGTGTTATTCAGTTAAGCAGTACAAAAATCAAGATCTTGGTCTCTATCAGTTGTCTCCTCATCTTCCCACACCTGGGCTCATCCACATGTCCTGAAGGACTGGGCCCCAAGGGGAAGGAAGGCAGCAAAGCTGTTTCAGATGAGATCCAGCCTTTTCTGGGCTGTCTTAGAGGTGCTTTTCTCCAGCCACTAGGTGGCAACAGAAGCAAAACATCATTCATTTAGGTGATTCCTAACAGATAATGGACACATTGGATCCAGATACTTTTGAGACCAGTCATCTGTCCCCTCAGTCTCTGACACATTGTCATGTCTATTTGCCCTGTGCTCAGCAACAAGGCCCACCTGTTTGTGCTGAACTGTCTGACCAGTCCCTATTTCTAGTCTAGCAAGTGGTCACCTGGGGTCCTTTTGGGGGGCTGGAAAGGACTAACTTAGACACAAAACCCATCTCTACAGAATGGCAGACCTCTCTGAGCTCCTGAAGGAAGGGACCAAGGAAGCACATGACCGGGCAGAAAATACCCAGTTTGTCAAGGACTTCTTGAAAGGAAACATTAAGAAGGAGCTATTTAAGGTTTGTGCCCTCAGATAGATGAGACTGGGTTCCTGACTTTCATATGGGGTAGGAGGCGGAGTGGCTTTAGTCCTCTGAGGTAGTTGCCCTGCAATGACTTTGAGGGAGAAGCCAAGCCTTTTATATTTTTTCCTGGAGACAGGGTCTGGCTGTGCATCCAGGCGGGCGTCCAACCCTAGATCCTGCTGTCTTAGCTTTCCAAATGCTGGAGATTATAGGCATATGCCACCATGCCCAGCCACATTAAATTTTCTGTGTGTGTGTGTGTGTGTGTGTGTGTGTGTTAAGCTTTGGCTTTCCTGGCCTAAATAGTGTAGTGATATAAAGAGAAGCAAAAATACACTACCATTTCTTTTAAGAACTATAGAAACTTCCTAGGTATGTTAAGTAGTTCACTATATAAAAATGGGTCACAGGTTGGGTCTTTGGGAGCTGGACAAGCAGCCTTTTCTCTAGTCCCTTCAAGGTGGTGGGCTCCAGAGTTGCTGACCTGGCCTATAGCCCTTTCCTATTGTCTCCCATCACCCTCACAGCTGGCCACTACTGCACTTTACTTTACATACTCGGCCCTTGAGGAGGAAATGGACCGCAACAAAGACCACCCAGCCTTCGCCCCCTTGTATTTCCCTATGGAACTGCACCGGAAGGAGGCACTGACCAAGGACATGGAGTATTTCTTTGGCGAAAACTGGGAGGAGCAGGTAAAGTGCTCCGAGGCTGCCCAGAAGTATGTGGAGCGGATCCACTACGTAGGGCAGAATGAACCAGAGCTGCTGGTGGCCCATGCTTACACTCGTTACATGGGGGACCTGTCAGGAGGTCAAGTACTGAAAAAGGTGGCCCAGCGGGCACTGAAACTCCCCAGCACTGGGGAGGGGACCCAATTCTACCTGTTTGAGCACGTGGACAATGCCCAGCAGTTCAAGCAGTTCTACAGGGCCAGGATGAATGCTCTGGATCTGAACTTGAAGACCAAAGAAAGAATTGTGGAAGAGGCTAACAAAGCCTTTGAATATAATATGCAGGTACCTGGGGGTTTACCGTGGAGGGCTGGGGGTGGGGCACCTCAGAGAAAAACTGGGAGCAAATCCAAAGCTTCCTTGAAGAGGGCATTGATAGCATGAGAAATGTGCTCCTGCGTGCCCTAGAGAAAAATAAGGGAATCAAATTAGCCATCAAAGGGCATGGGCCAGTGTGTGGCTCACAGATGGGAGGCCTGGCTTGAAGCCTTTGGATAGTGATGGAAAGGATGAGGCCCCAGCACAAGGGGGCTGAGAAAGGAGCTCTCTTCCTCTCATCACAGGATGCTGGGATTGAGGAATGGGTAATTTTCTCCTTTAGTAGAAAGGATTGGTTTGAAAAACAATGCCTGGTAAATTCAAAGCCCAATTTGTCAGGAAATAAAGAGTAATTGGCAAGTAGCCTTCAGGTGGAGCTGAGCATGCAGAGGCTGATTTCTGTCTTCAGGTCAGCCCCTAGTATCAGGGAGAAAAGCTGTAAGCACTCAAAATGGAGTTAACAGCAGCACCATGGCCTGAACTCCTACAGAGATGCAGAATAGTGCCCACTTTTCTAGCTGCTTGCTCAGTTTGTCTGCAGGCCTAGACAAGTGCACCTGGCTCCATTTCCTCTGTGGGTGGTAGGCAGGAGTCTGCATGATTCAGGGATGGCTCAGTCGATTTGTTTCTCAGATATTCAGTGAACTGGACCAGGCTGGCTCCATACTGGCCAGAGAATCCCTGGAGGACGGGCTCCCCATGCATGATGGGAAGGGAGACGTACGTAAATGTCCTTTTTATGCTGCTCAGCAAGACAAAGGTAGGTTGTGACTCAGGAGCTACCATTTCTGGGCGGGTGTGTCACTGGCCACCACTGATGCCATGTCTTCTATTGTGCTGCGTACAGGTGCCCTGGAGGGCAGCAGCTGCCCCTTCTGGACAGCCATGGCTGTGCTGAGGAAACCCAGCCTCCAGTTCATTCTGGCTGCCAGTGTGGCCCTGGCTGCTGGACTCTTAGCCTGGTACTACATGTGAAGGACCTGTCATGTCATGTTGGCATCCTACCCCAAATGATATGTTACATCCCCACCTCCACCTCTTATTAAACTACCACCTCAGGTGACTTTTTTAATGCTGGGTTTGAGAAAACGTGAGCAACCAATAAAAGCCAGACACTAACCCTCTGTTTGATGTTGTCTCTGTGAGCTTGGTTGTCACCCTAGTAGCAGCCAGTGTTGTACTGCATAGCAGGGCAGCCCTGAAACTCTGATCCAGCCGTGTTCCAGGGCTTTTGCCACTTTGGGGCCCTAAGTTTTATTACTTTCACTCTTCTTTCTCTTCAGTTGGAACAGTCACTGCCCTCTTGTGAGTGAGCTGCCAGTCTCCCAGGTTCTGTGAAGGGACTCTTTGCTCAGTTTTCTGAGCCTCTTTGGGAGGCTGGGTGGGCAGAAGCCATGCTTTCCTGTCCCAGAGGCCCTGAATGCTTATTCCACTCAATTAGGATTCCCTAAGAAGTCTGTTGGCCTCAATGTTTCCTTCCTTTGACTGGTATAAACACGATAGCATTCTAAATGAAGCAGATTCTACAGGGTTCCTCATTCCTTCGGGGCATGGGGGGAACCAAACTACCTCTTCCTTGGACTCTAAAAGCCCACAGGGAAGGGGAGAGTATCTCAGAAGCAATGGTAAGTTGCATACAAGTGAACATCCTCTTTGACAGCCCGTCTACTCGCTCACATGCTCTGACACTCCTGGCTATCTAAAACCTTCTGTTTCTACACAGCCATTTTTAGACACATACATGTGAACCTATGATTTTTTTTTTTTTTTGGTCTTTTTGAGACAGGGTCTCTCTATAGCCCCAGCTGGCCTGGAACTCCCTGTGTAGACCAGGCTGGCCTT